TTTCTTGATTGCTAATCCATCAATTGATAGATACTAAGTTTAGAGTTGCTTCTGTAAAGATTACTAGATAACATGAATGAAAGCAGTTTATTTATTTATTTATTTTTTGTTTTGAAAGGCTTTCATTAACAGAAACACTTTCTGTAGCACAAAATTCTACTTCTTTTTATGCTTGTACAAAACATTATTTCAGAATCAGTATTTTGATGTTGGTCCTTGAGATAATGATTTTAAGAAGTGGGTCAGATTAAGAACTTTTTGGCAGCCTTCAAAAATGCTTAGATTTATGCCTCAATAAATATGCGAATAAACTAATAAATAGTAGATTATCAATGCTTGATTAATAAAGTAAAAGATGGTGATTGGTTTTGCTAGTATTTTGATGCTCATTCACAGCATCAATAATAAAATTCAACATCACTGTCTTTTAAGTATCAAAATTACCAATATATATATTTAAACAGCTCTACTTGAAATAAATTAATCTTATCAATTTTTATTTTCTGATGCGGAAAAAAAACCCAGATCAAATCTGTTTTTGGTATAGCGCTTTCAAAAAAAATCATAAAATTGACAAATTTTAACGTTTTGATATCTTTAATTACTTGATCGCTCTGAGATTTTTTTATTTAAATCTACTTATTAAAAAAAATATTTCTTGGAATCACTTTAATATTTAATAAATTAAGGAATTGCTATTTCCTTTGTAATGATTTTGTTGAAAATAAAATAAGGATTAAGCAACATAATCCATATTACAAAAATGGTAAAAATTGTTTAAAAAAAAAAAAAATTCTGAAGGTTGGCACTAACTACATTAAAAAAGTATTTTAAATACAGATCATAAGAATTTTACAAGAGAAATTGCTTGGTCAGCTGAAATTATCCAAATTATTCTTCTCAGATAATATTTGTCTATTATATTTTTTCATATTTGAATGGTTTAAAATACTGAATATTTTTATAAATAAAAACCAAAAATAAATAGATGTAAAATTATTATCCTAAAACTCTTGAATGTTTACACTAAACTGGAACAACTACTTGACAAGCATTAATTAATTTGATTTATAATTATGAATACCAATGTCATTTGACACCAGTATTTAGTTTTAAATAGAAAATCCTGTTAAAAAAAAAACATTTTGTAAAATTTATTTTCTACAGATTTTTTTTTTTTTTTTTTTTTTTTTTACATTATATTTGTCCATGCATCAAAATGTACAGTGGAGGCAAGGAAGGTATTTAATTTGTCCATAAAGAATTATTTTTGCTTTAACAAATTAGGCCAGGAAAGTCAAAATTCAAAATTTAGATCTAATTATTTTATTTACAATTTATATGTAAATCAGTTATTGATTTTATGATTTAAAGTTGAACATATACAATGCAGTGGGTATTAGAGAGAGAGAGAAAAGCTATGTTGTGAAATCCACAGCCTAATAATAAAGACGAAAGCATTTATAAGTTTCAAGAACAAAAAGTTATTGAATTCAGATTCTAAACTGAACAGTGCAGCCTTAATTTTCCTCATTCAAATACAATATATTTCTTTTCTTACACTCTCTTAATTATCAGACATGAAATAACATTGGTTTGTAATAAATAGACAAATCTTTATAACTTTATTTATCGGTAGCAAGAAGTTTTTTTTTTCACTTTACTATATGTTTCTTTAAGAAAGTAGTACATTAGTATGTATGTATGTGTGTGTGTATATATATATATATATATATATCTAAACTAGCTATGAGTTTCTCTTTTTTTCTTTTTTTTTTTTTTTTTTTTTTTTTTTTTTTTTCCCCCCTGTTTTTCAAAGGGTTGGTGGGGTAGAAATTTTAGTATATGAATGGATAATTGTTCCAAGAAGTGGGGTTAAGAATTTTGCTATAATTTTTTAATTCTATTGGGTTATCCAGAAACACAAAACAAAATTATAGCATTAAATATTTATTCAACTATATATAAACTATTTTGTTGCACAATCTTTCTCCATTTTTCCTTCATCTTAAAGATTCCATCTTTCCGGAATTTTTGTGGTTTCTCTGCAAAGAACTCGTTAAGGTGATTTTTTTTTTTTTTTTTTTTTTTTTTTTTTTATATGTCATCCAAAGAATTAGAATTTTTACCCTTGAGATTATAATATATGAATAAATGAAAATCCAAAGGAGCAATGTCCGTTGAATAAGGCAAGTGGAGTAACACATCCCAGCCAAGCTGCAACAATTTTTGCCAGGTCACCAAAGAAACATGTGATCTGGCATTATCCTGATGGAAAATAATACCTTTCCTGTTTGCCAATTCTGTGTCTTTTTCTTGAATTGCTGCCCTTAATTTGTCTAGTTGGGAGCAGTATGTTTCAGAATAAATTGACTCATTACTTGGCAGAAGCTCATAGTACAGGATTCCTTTCCAATCCTACCAGATGCACAGCATGACTTTCTTAGGATGAAGACCTGCTTTTGAGGTGGCTAAGGTTGGCTCATGTTGCTTATCTCAGAATCTTTTTGCTGAACATTATTGCAAATGAACCATTTCTCATCACCCATCACAATTTGCTTAAAGAAGGGTACAGTTTCATTATGTTTATACAGCAAATCACAAATGAAATGTGACCCAAAAGATTATTTTCACTCAGATCATGTGGCACGCAAACCTTGTAGCGATTTGTGCACCCAAGCTTCACTAAGTGCTCATAGATTTAACATTTCTACCAATTCTCACATTGTGCAATACAGGTTATTCTCAATCAATATCTTGATTTGGTCATCATCTGTAGTGAGTGATGGGGTCTGCCTAGACATTCTTCATCAATAAGGCTACAATCTCCAATTCTAAACTTAATGTACCACTTCAGTTCTGTCAGCTAAAGCACCTAAACTGTACACAGCACATATCTTTTTTTGTTGCTTGCGAGGCATTTTTCTCTTTATGGTATATATATATATATATATATATATATGAAGAAATTTTGAAAAAAAAACAAAAATCATAAATGTAGTTAAATGAAAAAATTTTTCAGTTCTCTGTTTGGTTTATTAAACCTTTTTCAAGACAATATTCATCAAAATACAATTCAGTTCAATATGACAAATATTGATGGACATAAAAACACAAGTCTTATTCCGAACAGATAACTTCAAAATTTTTTAAAATTTTTTTGTTTTTTCAAAATTTCTTCATTCTGTCGGATTTATATCCATTTACACTTTTATATATATATATATATATATATATATATATATATATATATATATATATATATATATATATAAAAAAAAAAGCGTCTAAAATGCACTTTTATAATCCTCCATTTTCATAGGGATGCAAAAGTGACACGAATTAAGTAATTTTAAACTTCTTTTTTCTCAAGAGATAGCTTGAAGTGTGCTCTAATTGGAAATATAAGTATATTATATCTTTCGATAAATTTGACTTGTTCTAGCATGTTGGAATGTGAACAACTAAAAATTGGTATGTGCTTTCTGGACAACCCAATATTTGAATAGTAAAAACAAAGTCAATATATTCTTGCTCCACACATTTGGAAAATTTACTTTTGTATATCTGACATTATTACTTATTACTATAGATGTTATGTTTAGTGGGTACATGTATTTAAGTAGACATCTCTGTTTTCTAAACAGTGTAATTGACGTCTGCTGGCCTTGGGTTTGCTAAAGTCTTTAATAAAGGACAGAAAAAATGTGCCCTTCAACTGATTTTCAACCAACATATCTTTGCTATGGAGGAAACGACCATATATAATACCCTGCAAACTACTAAAGTCATGCTGAGCTATACAGGGATTTCTCCCATATAAAGTGGATGCATGTTCAAACCCAGAACTTTAAAAAAAAAAAAAAATATGTAATTCCTTAAGATTTGGAAAACCTATTTACAATCACAGATTTAATGCTTGTTCATAGGCGTTGTGACAAAAACATTCAGCCAAAAACATTTTGTATTCTGAAGATTTTATTTTTTTATTCTGTAATTATTTTTGTGTCTTTAGATCTTCAAACTCCAGATCTAGATCTCGAAGTATTCCAGAATCTGCTAAACGACCCGTGTCACAAAAAACATTGCCTCAAAATGCTGATAAAAAAATGTTGGTTTCTAAATCAAGGTAAGCTTCCTTGATTCTTTACTATTATAGTGAAGATTTTTGAGGAAATAAAATTTCTTTTTGCTTTATTATGGCACAAATTGATTGACTCTACTATAACCAGTAATGATGAAGAAATCCATTTTTCTTTGCTTTTAATTTGACACCAGTGTTTATTTGGAAATGAATTCTCTGATAATTACTAAAATAAAATATATTCTACTTTCCCCTCACCATTTTTAACAAATATACTGTTTTTTTTTTTTGTTTTTTTGTTTTTTTTTGTTTTTTTTTGAAAAGACTAAATTAGTAATTTTTTTTCTTATTCTTTTATGATGTGGTGTGATCTGACCAAGAAGGGATTAAAAAAAAATTCTGTTTGGTCAGATTTTTGGGAATTAGGTTGAGCCAAGAATTCTTTTTTAAATACTCCTTCATAATTATTTAAAATCTTAATTTATTTTACTCCTTCATAATTATTTAAAATCTTAATGTATTTTGCAGTGAAGCTCCTAAGAGTGCAGTAACAGTGAGGTCAAAACTGCATGCCAGTCCTGAGAAGAGGAAGATGCCTGCGTCACAATCAACTGGTGGAGCACCCGCCAAATCTATACCACAATCAGATCGAGGACGAAGGAAAGAGCGCTTGTCTCCAAGGTAAAGAGATTAGATTTCTACATTATCAACACAGGACTCTATTAATAAGCAGAACTTTCCCTATATCATGTCTTTAGTAATTGTGCAGTATTTTCTGGGATTTATAACCTGTTAATGATGAAAATATTCTAAAATATCCTTGCAAATATTTTACAATAAGAGTACTGAATAGATGCAATTTGGCATTAATCATTTTTTTTCTTTCTTTTTTTTCTCCCCTACTTCTCCATTTCAGTAGGCCAAATAGGCGAAGTTGGAGTGGAAGTTCAAGTGGCAGCAGCCTCTCACATTCACCATCTCGATCTCATTCCTTATCACGCTCCAGATCACGATCCCAGAGCCGGTCGTCGTCATCATCATCCTTCTCACGTTCCCCCAGTGCCAGCAGTATCAGCTCCTTCAGTAGCACGGGTTCTTCCACATCCAGTGGCAGTGCTGACTCGGAGCATTTGTATCGTGACATTGCTAGTCCTGCAAGCTCACGTGGCAAGTCACCTTCTCACAGACCTAAAGGTATGCATTTGATTCTTGCATGTTCAGAAAATGAACAAACTAAAGTAAAAACAACCTCAATTAAAAAGTGTGTATGGCAGAAGTTCTCTGATTTCTTTTCAAATCATGGCACGTTTTGAAAGAGTTTCTTCATGGTGTTCTAAGCTAATAAATACCAAATGATTTCATTTTTGTTCATGTTCCAAATATCCTCATATTTCTGATATTTTTGTTTCTTCACATTTTCCCCATCAAGCCTATGTTGTTTCATTCCTTTCACAATGTTTATTAATGTTTAATAGAAAATTTTCTGTCCTTCATACTATGAATAAAATACTTGGATAAAAATATTATTAGATTAGTTGTAAATAAATAAATAAACTTACTTTATTTAAACACTTTAAGTTAATAGTTTGATCATACCCCCACCCCCACAATATTTGGTGGATTCAATCTTCAACAAGGCTGTAAAAAATCTTTTATTATTTGTCAACAACAATTTAGAGTATTAATTTTGTCTGCTGAGCACCATGTGTTGAAATAATGAAATTCAACACTGACTGGTTCATAATGCGTCAGTTAAATGTCAGTTCTTATACTGGCTATGCATCAACAAGTTAAAACAGGGTATAATTATGAAATTGTTTGAATTTCCTGGGGGATCACTGGTCTGTAGCATTACGACGTTTTCAATTGAATTATTTTCTTATTGGAAAGGCAGTAAATATGGCTCTTATGCACTAAGTCAAGGAGATGCAGCTTTTTACTATTTAAATGTATGACAACCATGAAATACTATTGCCAGAAGGACCTTTGCAGTTAAAAATGCTCTGCCTAAGAGAAAAGTTCATGTATTTTGTGAAAAGATGAAAGGATATTCAGGACTAGCACAACAACAAATACAGATTGCTTATGCTTTGATTTTGATAAAGATGTCTCATTACTCCATTTGTTAACAGGAAATGCATTCTACTCAAGACAACTCTAATGGTTCATGTTTAATATTCATTCTGCAAAGTCTAGAAAAGGTGGAATGTATACCTGGCCAAAGACATTATGCTAAGTATGGTGTTAATGAAGTATTAAATTGTGTATCTCATTATATCAACATGTCTGATCCAGAAACTGTGAGAAAACAGTTTTCACAGATGGTGAAAACCATAACCATTTCCAGTGCAATTTTTCCAGTTGTTGGTCATCAATGGTTTTTGAGTGGACCATAGCTGGGCCTCCTTACTGGGTGTCTATCTACTATGTGTCAAAGAGTTTGGCAAACACTTTATGGAACATATTCCTGTGAGGATGCTTCCCTGGGGTCAAACATTACCTATCCTACATAATTCTCATAATCTGCACATCTTGTTCCTACATTCATACAACAAACTCATTTAGTAATTTTCTGTCTTGAATGGCTCTTGGGCCTTGTATTGGTGAACATTTAGTTTAAAAAAAAAAATGAAAAATGTCAAAGAGGGGAAACTTTTGAGATGAATGTCTGATATGAGATGATAGCTGAAAAGTTTGAGGAAGTATGTGATGAATGGATCTGTGAGATTTTAAGGGTTTATGAGAAAGAAGTTGACGGTTAAAATTGAAGAGAAATTTGCTGTCTCAAAATGCAAACTATCCTCTTTCTCCAAGGAGAATAAATATGATATGACACTGTGATGAACCAGTTTTGTCTGGTTTAAATTTGGATTGCTCAGATTCTCCATCCAGATCAGCATTTTTATCAGGACCTACTTTTCAGTAAAAGCAGCCAAGTTAAAGAATCTTCAAAATCTGTAAAGTATCTTTTTCTTGAGGCACATCCATTTAGTAACAATCTGCAGGCAACTTGATGAGAGGGAAAGAGATGAGTAGTCAAGTTTAATTTTTGCAGCTTGCAATCCAATCCCCAGTCATTGTAGTCCTGTGACAATGCAATTTACATTCCCTTTTCTTGTGCTGTATAAGACAGGCACTTGATTTGATTCTTTCTGATTCTCGATGAAGGTTTGCTTATCATCAGAATAGACAGTTTCCTCACTTTTTCTTTTTTCTTTCTATTTTCATTTAATTCTCTAACCATGAACAGATCCAACTCTAGTGTCTTTGAGGAACAGCTATCTTGAGATGACAAAGTAATTGTCTCATCATTTCAGCAAGGAGTATGTCCATAACACCTGCACTTTTTTAAAAGAACTATAAGCTAGAATTATAAGTATTGGCTAATTTGGAAGATGTATGATGTTTTTTTCTTTTCCCTTGAAAAGGAAATGTTTCTTGCAGTTGGTTCCTTTAGAAAGTTGACACATCAACAGTAATCACATTGCACTTCATTCAATGAAGAGGAAAACCAATGTCTTATTTAAAGCTTTGTTAGTGACATTGAATTATTCTCAAATGACAGAATGGAATCCATTGATTGAAAACTTGAAATTTGAGTAGATGTTTATAATAAGTTTTTCTTACAAAATGAACATTCCAGTATGAACATGATGATTGTTATATACAGGGTTCGATGGGTAAATTGTTGCCATTTTATATTTTTTATTTTGTGTATGCGCATTGTTTGTTTTTGATTTTATTGACTGCACAGTATAGTAGGATCATTTGTGTATCTATAAGAAAAAGAGCACCATGGCATAATTCACTCCACCTGAAGTTGTGCTGCTTGGCATTCGAGCCAGAAGCTCCAATACAAACATTTCAAAGTGTTCAGGTGTCAATCTGAGGAAATGTGAAGAGAATTCAGAACGAGTTGGATGAGTCTAATGGTGATTATGAAAGTATGGCAGCTCGGAAAACTCACTCTGATCTGAAAAGAAAAGAACTCCCAAATTTGTTGGTGAGGGCTTCAAACTCGACACTGAGGCCTACATCAAGTGCCTTGATAAGATAGTGCTACCCTGGGTCAAAACGGTGGCTGCTGGAAACCCTATGTTTGGCAACACAAGCCAGACAAAATAGTCATGGCTGTCAGACAATTTCTGTGACAACATCACTCCTTACATCTGGCCATCTAACTCCCCAGACTTGATGTGTGGAGCGCAGTTGATTGAGAGACCAACAAAATTTCCTGTAAAACCAAAGATGAACTGAAGGCAAGGATTATGGTGGCAGTATTCACCAACTTACACAAGTGACCATCTGGGAGAATTACAGGAGATTCCAAAGTCATCTGGAGGTTGTGGTCGAAGCCAATGGTGATTTTATTGAATAAATTTACCCTTTAGTATTTCAAGATATTTTTGTGTAATTTTGGTAAATATAACTGCTAAAATGAAATATCAGTGTGATTCTCATTTTTTGCGTAATTTAGATGACAATTTATCCATCGCACCCTGTATACATACATGCATACATAGCCGTGTTTCTTTTTGTTGGGACAGGACCAGTTTTAATCTTGCACAAAGCAACATGGGCCTTACTTGACAGAGGATCTCTTGTCATAATGATTTGAGGCAAGGTTACAAGGCCAGTTGCTCTTCCTGACACCCAATTTCAGACACTCATGGTAACTCAAAGTAACTCAAATGTTTTTATCTCAACATCATCTCTAAGATAGATTGCCACCCTAGCCTTTATTTATCACACACACACACACACACACACACAGGGATCTCAGTTATCAGTCATAACCTGTTTCAGAAATTTGTCCAAAAACCAAGGTACTATTCCCATAATAAATAATATTAATCCATTCCAGAAACACAAAAATATTAACAAAAAATACACTTTATACAGAATAACTATAGTTTTACATGCAGAAAACAATAACAAGTAAATATCGGCTTTATCTTGTACCTAAGAATTGAATTTCTTCTTTGCTGGCTGCTTCCTTTATGATGATGGTGTTGATGACTGAATTCACTACAAACATGCAGGTTCAGGACTAGAAGCTTCCAGTTTCACCAAAACCTGTTCCCATCATCCATTTCCTATCACTGTTTAGTTTTGCAAGAGTTGGTTGGAGATCAAAGAAAATCAAAGAAAGAAAGTGCCAATGGTGTGAATTTATTTAAGATAGACCTCAACTTGCCAGGAGTGACACCTTCTGTAGCATGTCCGTCATGCATAGCCCTCTTCATCAGTTGATTCAACCGCTGAGATATGTTGTAATCATCATCTGCTTGTTCCACTTTTGGGGTCTTTGGGATTGGTCACACTTTGGGTCCTCATTTTTGACATTGCTGCCAAGAATGACTGTACCAGGATTTTAGAACTCTTGGCGACATGCAAGCTCCTCCACCACAACAAGGAATGACCATCAGAACAAATAAATTTTTTAATTCCCTGTAGCCTGTTGTAACTGGCGCGTTCACCAAACAGGATATGTGGGAGTTGAGTGGGGTGTATTTTGGACATGTGACCTGCCCAGCAGAGGCAATATTGAAGCACACACACACACACACACACACACACACACATTAGCCATTGGCTCCCATAAGAAGCTCATTTGCCCTTTGACAGGTTTTGTTTTTCATCCTGTGGAGATGACCTATCACCTTTCTCACCAGCAGAAAAGCTAGTGGGAGAGCTGGTTTAGATGTCTACCACCTGTCCATGCAGCAGGTTGAAAAGAAAAAATAAAGATTGTCTAATTGACTCTTTAACCAGATGGAAATGAAATGTTAAAATAAATATTGGTGGAAATAGAATTTATACCAGTATTATAAAGAAATCTTTTTGGTTTGTCTTCTCAGTAGATATTTCCTAAAACCTCAACAGTAGGGCACTCAATGAGGATCAAATTTATGATAGTAATTTTCTGCAAAACCTTATTCACAATCAATCTACATCAAGTTCCTTAAATAGATGTTTACTATTTAGCGTACTCTGGTTTGTGAGACTAGCTCACTAATCATTATTCTATGGTAGGTACCCACACTGACTTCTATGTAATTCATTTCTTTGTCTATTTTTTAAGCTCTACTTACATATTAGACTGAAACAAGTGCAGTAATTGTCTGGATAGCCTTCTTGCAGATTTTTTGCAAATAGTTTGTTATATCGCTTGCTACTCGTTCTCTTTTCAGATAAAGAAAGAGGGCGCCAGAAACCAGTCCGCAGCAAACCATCAAGTAGTCAAGCTTCATCTAAGCCTCATTCTATGCCACCATTACCATTACCATCAAAACCTCCCAAACCTGACAGTCGACAAGTCAGTCAGCAGCCACCCCATCACCATCACCATCATCATCACCACCACCATCACACATCTGCTGATTCTTCAGTTACAAGAACTGTCAGCACAGGCCCACCTGGTGGAACATCAGTACTATCCAGCAAAACTAAGGATCCTTTGAAGTTAGTTGGGCAAAAGTCCAACATTAAGCTAACTCTCATCAGTAAGGTAAACATTAATTTTTTTTTTCTTTTTGTCTGTGAATTTTTGATTTCTACTTTGATATATGCATAAGTTTCACAAAGTCATTAATTATTGGGGAAAAATTATATAATTTAAGCCATTAATGGAATTTTTAAAAAATTTTCACAATATTGCTTATTACTATAAAATGAGGTTATCTTAGAGAGTACAAGCATTTGAGTTGATATCTCTATTTAGGCCAGTAGATATTTATTTTACTATATATGAAATCTATCCAAAATTATTTACCCATTAATATAATGTTTATAGTAACAGGAAATTGGGTGAGGATCTGATGGAATGGTAATTATATAATAATTTTGAAAATTCCTACATTGATATGCTTCATTGATGAACCGGCATCATCAGAAAAATGAAATTGTGAAAACAATCTTTTTTTTTATGTCAATCAAAAGTAATATATGCACACACACACACACAAAACAATCTACACCAATAATAAGGGCCCCTAACTAACACATAAATTAATTACATCAAAATTAGTATAAAAATAACATAAAATGAGAAAAACAGCAGTCAGTTGCTGAAACCTCTTGATAAGTGGATTGAATAATTACAAAAAGGTGTATGAAACTGGAGTCAAGGTGCATCAATCAGCTAAGTAGCAAATTTTATTTGTATTAATCATTTTTATATATATATATATATATATATATATATATATATATATATATATATATATATATATTAAGAAAGAGGTTGTAATGGTTCCAACGAGAAAAAATATGTATATTAAAAAAGAAAAGAGAGGTGCATAAACGTTTTTGGTTATAATGTGGATTTTTTTAGAAAAAAATATTATGCTTTATTTTCCATAATTTTACTACACGTGTTTCTGGTCTCGTGACTGTCTTCAGGTAAAAGCGGAGATTTCCACATATTATTAAAAAATAATTAATTTTTTCCTTATGTTTTTCAATGTTGAATATTCTCGATATGAGACATTCTGTGTTTTTGTGTTAGTAATCCGAATGTCTTTCTTGAATTGGCAATGAAGAGTTCTGCGCGAAGGGTCATAAAACAATTAAGGTTGGTCCAAGAGAAATGATGAATTACTTATCGGCATTTTATCTTTTAATGTTTTACTGACCGCTATGTGTTTTTGGATCTGTTTCTATTTTCGTGTGTTTCTGTCAGCATGCGTATATTACCCCTCCATACATATACTGTCTTACTATGAGGAATTAGTAAACTCATTTGTACACATACATACACATACACACTGTCCCACCACAAGGAATCAGTACATACACAAACATACTTCCCAAGCTACATGGAACCAGTATACACATACATACATACGTACATACATACACACATACTTCCTAAGTTGTGTGGGGTCTGTGTGCGTGCTCGTGAGTAGTTCCTCTGTTTTGTCAACATGCGTATATATATATATATATATATAAATGTGTGTGTGTGTGTGTGTATATATATATATATATATATATATATATATATATATTCGTGTCTCCCGTATGTGAGCATGCGTTCATGTATGTGAGTGATTTGATCACTGTATTTGGTCACCTTGTGTGCTTTTGCGTGTGGGGTTATGACCTATTTAGTTCAGGTTTAAATTTGTTTATAAAGTTTTTTTCTTGTATTTGTAGGTACAAATAATCGTCTGTTTGATATATCGGCATGATATTAAATTTACCCTGGTTACATTTGAAGATGTGTTGTGATACAAAAAGTTTTCTGTTGTCTGGCCATTTTATATTGCTTTTGTGTAGGGACACCCTGTTGTTCAGTTGTTGGCTGATGCCTATATATGACTTCTTACATTTTGTGCATTTAAGTACATAAATTACATTTTTGGAGTTGCAATTGCAGTTGTGTTTTGATGTGTATCAATGCATCTCATCAGGCGATTGTAAATTACTGGTGAGTGAACAATTTATTTAGATTTAAAAGCAAAATACAACCTCTTTTTACAAAAAAAGAAAAGGGGGTTATAAGGTTTGTGGGCTTTACTCTTTATTCACACACACACACATATATATATATATATATATAGGTATGTGCATGAGATCGATAAAAAAAATAGCATACCATGAATAAAAAAGGCCTTCAATTTGATTAAAATAATTTTTTTATCGTATAAATGTTAATGTTATTATCAAGAGGAATGATCAAAGTATTTTTTGAATATTTTTTCAAATTTTTTAATAATTTCTAGCACGTCCAAAATTTTTAGTTAAAAAATCTTCAATTTTTTTTTGAATCGAAAAATCGACAGACGATCGATAATCTCCGTTGTTTTTGATGTTTGTTTACAAAAGTGAATGTTGCCGTTTAAAATTTATTTAAAAATCAATTATGATTTTTTTTTAACTAATTTTAAAAAATTAGAAATTAGAAAGTTTATTTAGTATATTTTGAAACAAAGATTGCTTATTTTCTGTGATGAAAACATGTTTTTTTTTCAAATGGGAGAAAGCCGATCTGAACTGCGGTGTTGATTGACAAATGACAAGTGCGTGTTTTTTCATCACGCACTGACATATTACGTCTGGGAAATTTATAGTACGGAAGGTCGTAAGTGACAATTTATCTTTACGTTAACAACTTATTTACCTCGTTATTTTTAAGTAGTCATACCATGAAAAAACGGCCTTAAACTTGACGAAATCAGAATTTTATTACCAAAATGTTTATGTTACTATTAAGGGGAGAGAACAAAGTAATTTTTCATTATTTTTAAATAATTTTCTGTCTTTATTAGAACGTTTTAACTTTTGATTGAAAAATCTCGTTTCTCGTCATCACCGGAACTTTAGTAAATAACATGGCAAATTTTTTGTTCATTTTTTTCTTATGACACATTAATTTTGAAAATCTTGCAAAAGTAGAAATAATTGTCAGATTTTAAAGAAACTTTCAGGAATGATGGAAATTATTATAAATTTTTTAAAGTAATTTTATATAAATATAAAGGCCGTTAACAGTGCCGTACAAATCAAGTCACGTGATGTTTTTATTGGATCATGTTTCTTCCGGGCCTCCGTACATTTGATTTAAGATTTTTTTTTCTACACATAGGTTAAAGGACAGTAAGATTATTCTCATTGCTTTTTCGTTGATTGTAAAAACCTTGTACTATTTATAATCTGTACAGATATAGGTACCTAAAAATAGCATTATATACAGGATTCGTCAGTACCGCTAATTTTAGAATATTTAACAACTTTTAGTAACTTTATGTAAAAATAATAAAATAATTTATTAAATAACAATTCATTTAAAAATTCATTTTTCATCAAAAAAGTTTTTTGCTTTCAGACAATATTATGCATATTGATAAAAAACAAATAAAAGCAACTAAAAGCATTTAAAATTAAATAGCATTTTTGTTTTATTGGGTTTTGTATGTTACAATTCAGAGCTGATTTTCGCGTTTACGTGTTCGGATTTTTAAAAAAAGAAAACCTGATTTACTTTCCTCAAAGCCTTGTGTTTTTATTAATATAATGACTTCCCTGCTTCGTCCATAAACTTTTACAGTTTTCTTTAATTCATTTATGGGGGTGGTAATATATGTATAAAAAATATATTTTTATAATGACTTTAAAAAAAATAACATATTTATAATAATTTCCATCATTTCTGAATAGTTTCTGAAAGTTTCATTAAAATCTGACAATTATTTCTATTTTTTCAAGATTTTCAAAATTAATGTGTGTCATAAGAAAAAAATGCACAAAAAATTCGCCATGTTATTTACTAGAGTTCCGGTGATGACGAGAAACAAGGTTTTTCAATCGAAAGTTAGAATGTTGTAATAAAGACAGAAAATTTTGAAAAAATAATTAAAAATTACTTTGTTCTTTACTCTTACTCGTAACATAGACATTTTGGCGATAAAATTTTGTTTTCGTCAAGTTTGACGTCTTTTTCATCAGACTATACGCTTTTTTTAGCGATCTCGTGCATATACCTATATATATATATATAGTAAAAGGTTTGTCATTTGGCTGATTGATGTTACATGTAGCATCCCAACTCCTAGTTTCCTAGACAGACCACTTGTCAAGGGATATCACCAATTGACTGCTTATGCGTCATGATTTTTCTTTTTTATATGAAGTTTTCATTAGCGAAAGTTCTTTATAGTGTATATGTGTGTATATTCTTACACACACACATATGTTTTAATTTTTAAAAGAAAACGTTTGGTACCAATGAGTAATTGGCCTCTTTTTTAAAAGGAATGCAAATGAAATTATTTCATGCTAAAAAATAAATAAATAAAACTTGGCTAATCAAACTTAATCAAATGCTAACTCTTGTTTTTCAATTTGTTTTAAACTAAAGAGTTGTTTAAATGACTTTAAATAAAAGCTGTTAATGTTTTCATCTGATTAAATGCATACTTTGCAGTACATGAAATCTTTTCAAAAACTGTTTCTTTTTAGCCTTCAGAAAAGGAATCTCCTGCTCAGAGCAGAAAGAGGCCAGCTGAATCAAATCTGACGTCCTCGAACAAGAGACAGGCTCTACTTCCAAATGTTGCCAAACCTTCTGGTAGGAATTCTCACATTTGGCATTCAAGTGCTTGTTGGGTGTTTTTTTCATAATTCTATTTTTTTTTTTTTTTTTTTTTTTTTTTTTTTTGAATGATTTCTTTTTTTTTTTATCTCTAAATACAAATAGAAGTGAAGTTCTACCAGTCAGGACATTAGTGTTTATTGGTTGGGATAGAGAATATAAGCATGAATTTAAGATGGAGCTATCAACTTCTTTTCATTTGTAGCCACTGATATTTGCAAGCTTGTACATATTTTACATTTGGTTCTTTTGTGAAGATACAGCAACAAACTTATTCCTCCTAGAATTAATGAGTTGAAAGACATTGCTCTCTTTGATTTTTATTATCGATGAACAGCCCAGGGCTCAAGATTAACTTTTTTTTCACCATCATCCCTGATATGTCCTGAAAAACAATTTTAATCCTACAAAGAAGAGTTTAAACCATTCTTAAATCAAAATTCATTTTTTTTTTCTTCCTCTAATTTTATCATTTATGGATGGCTGCTCATTTCTGAGTGTGCCTGTCTGTTAGGGTGAATTGTTAATGTCAGCGGGTAGCTGCTCAGGCACATTTTGTATTTCTTCTAAGACCAATAGTGCCAAGCTGTGGTTTATACTGCAATTATGCTGAACAGACCTCAGTTACAATTCCTGGGAGAGAGCACACAACCTAGTATGATCAGTAGTTGAACAAGGTCAGTACATGCATACCATATGTCATGATGACTTATGACTTAATGCTACCACAGCCATTGATAGCTTCTGAACAGTTTTGTCCATCTAATTTCACTCGCACAGCTTGTAGGTGTATGGACAGTTAGAAAGTTAGTGTTCCGACCATGAAACTCTAGTTTGAATCTTACTGTTGTCAATTTGTCTGAGAAGTGACCTCTTAATATCAACTTGGGGTGATGATCCCAGTATGTGTCACTGTTTGGAAGTGCCTGAAAATTATATTAAATGTTGATTCAAACTTTGTAAGTATAGTTGTTAGTAGCATAAAGAAGCACCATTAACTGTTTAGGAAATAAATATTTTGATCCATTCTCTCTTTAAACTGTGGTCTCTGTACCCTGCAGCCACTACTTCACTACTTTGTCACTGCTTTCATCTTGCTTAGTTGGAGACAATTGAGCATTTTAATTTAGTTTAGCAGAAAATAATACATATGTTGTTTGCTAATAGTTCATTCAAGTTTCTAAAGCATAAGTTGACAGAAAAAATGATTTTATTGTTTTGTTTATTAAAGCAAAATTAATTCTTACAATGAGATATTGATGTTTTTCACATTTAGAAATAAATAATAATACAAATACCTAATTTTAAGTCTGTCAACCTTTATTTTTCATTTGTGTTCCATTCACTAGTTTAAAAGAAATGTGTAAGTTTTGTTGGCCTTTTTGTTTACATACATATATGCCTCTTTTTATTAATAGAGAAGTGAGAAGTAATTTTTTTTCTTTTTTTTAAGAATTTAGTTGCTTTTAGAATAAATATAATGGAATTTTAATGACACATTTTGTATCCTCTCTGAATCATCCCAAACTAATATCCTGTCATCTCCAGAACATTGCTTGATCCCTGGAATGGCTATTTAAAGTTTCATTCTTAACATCTCATGATTAATGCCCTCATCTACATTAAATATTAAACTTTGAGTTGATAATATTCAAGGATGTTTTTCCTCCTATTTACATGGTTAAAATTTAAGTTTGATATGAAAACAAAATTGCCATTTATGCATCTGGATAAGAAATGTCCTTATTGAAATTGCATTTATTTCTCACAAGAAAGAAGACAACAGATATATGTGCTTTATTAATAATCAGCACAAATAGTGATTTACTAAGTGTAGCTTAGATGTGGTATGAGGCCAAAAGTATGGAGCCCCCAGTGAGGATCAAACTCACTGTCATATTTGATCTAGTAAGATAAGCTTGCTAATCATTACACCATGTTGAAGTGTCCATAAGCAGCACACATAAACTGAAGATATGCATTAAAAAATCATAGTGTATTAAAAAAAAAATTTGTTATATGAGACTTCAGTCAAAAAAATGTAATTTACTAATATATTGAATTAGTAAGAATGAGCATTTTATGCAGTCAACAAATGTTTTATTTCTCAGATTCAAACATAGAACAATACAATCTAATTGCCAATTTAAAAATTTTTTTTTTTTTGTATTTACTCAGATTAGACTTAGATTGGCATGTTGTAATCACTTTCTATGAAGATGCAAGCAAATCATCTATTACTTTAAGATGGAGTGTCTGTTTTGACTCTAACAGTGTGTGCCATGTTAAAAGCTCTGATCATTGAAGTAGTTCTAAAAGTGGATTCTACATAATTGTGGCCATTTTTTTCTGGTTACTGTGTTAGCCACACTTTGCAACTGCAGACAGTCCACTATAACATTATCCATGTCCAAATAGTAATTTCTTTTGTTTTCTACTTCTCAGAATTGAAAGATATTTAACTAAATTTTGTACACCCTTAAAACATTTCAGCCACTAATCTCTCAAAGTTTGGAACATTACTAAAAATTAACAGATTTACTTAAGAAAATTAACTTGTCCCAAATCAGTTTTTATAAAAGTTGTTCATCCAGTTGTTATAAAATTGCTTTTTTTATCTAAGCAGTATTAATGAAAATTTCTCTAAAATTACTCATTCTTTATATTATTTATATGCAATGGATACATGGTTTTCATAAAAATATCTACATTTTCTTTCACATGTTTTTCAGATAAATCCATGAAAGTTACTTCAAACCGGACAGACAAAGCAGACATTTCTCTACCTCGAATGAAATCTGCACCTCTTTCTCAATCTACAACCCTGCCAGCTCCATCAAGTCCTCCACCAAAAGTTCCAAGCAAAGGTTTGCTCTCGGCGGCCAAGGCCAGTGGAATGGCCAGACCAGGACCAGGCTCTGCCGGGGCCATGGCTGCTGGAGCAGTCACTTCTGCTTCAAGCTCAGCAAATGCTGGGGCATCTACCACACCCTCTGGTACTGCCACAGCAAAACCCAAAAAGAGTACATCCTCTCGAAGAGAGGAACTTCTCAAGCAGCTCAAAGCTGTAGAAGATGCCATTGCACGCAAGAGGGCCAAGATGAATTGATGACACTTAAGAAACTAGATGATAAATTTTTCAATTCAAAGTCAAGGTCTTCTTTGGAGAAAGTAAAGTAAAAATCACCATGATTGAAAAAAAAACCTTTTGGAGAGAAAAAAATTTTTTTAAAAAGATGCAAAATAGTAAAGTGATATATATAGATGGAAAAGCTCCCCACTCCCAGTTGTCCTCGAAGATCCCTTGACTTAATTTTTTTTTTTCTTTAGTCCGTTCCCTTCTATTGACAATTAGTTACATGTTGTGGGAGGTGCCCCGAATTAACACTGGGTGTTCTTCAGTTTGGCAGCACCTCCCACTGATCACTGGTGGAGAGCTTAAGAAAGAAAACAACTTGTCTTTGGTGAGCTTGTAGTTCTGTGATTGCTGTGGTCTGTCATAATGATACCAAACTTTCTAGGTCTGGTGTGGGAACCATGCTCAAAAACCCAAGTTTGAAGGCATAACATTAGGGTTGGGGAATCATAAATTTTATTATTTATTTTATTTTTATTTATTTTCAATTAGTTTTTTTTTTTTTTTTTCTTTTCATTTTTGTTTTTTTTTGTTTTTTTTCTTTTTTGTTTTTTTTTTGCTATGCAAGGACAGATTAGAAATAGAAGCACATTGATTTTAACTTTTTCTTTGATACTGAAAAAGAAAGTGGAGAAAAGCTTTCTCTCTTTTCAAAAATGTGTGAGGTTAAGATGTCTGCTACTATCTTTATCCTGAATAGGACAAAAATTAACAAGCAGTGAACCGAAACATTTTGTCTTTCAAATCTTTTATTCTAAAATTTCCAAATTTAAAACTCTGCTGACACATTTTAAGTTGACATCAATTTCCAAAATTCAATCTTTCCAAATATCAGAAAATTTTACTTTTTGAGATCAGAATATGTCTGAACAACAGTCTTTTGTTTTGTATCTCAATAATTTTCTCATTAGTGACAATATATCATTTCATAACTGTAGAAATTGAAAATACGGTCTTGTTCCATTCCTGGACATATATGAAATTGAATCAAAACTTTGAACACGGTTCATTCAGTACACACACATTGAAATATGAAATTCCTTTTGGTTAGTTGGTTAATTAGTTTATCTATCTATCTATCTATATATATATATATATATATATATAAAACCCAAAATTCTAGGTAATCTCTACTGGCAGATATGGGAGTTTGTTTTGTTTGACCTATGGTTGCTATTTTTTCTGACCCATATTCTCTTCCCTAGCCCCACTGTTCTGTATTTTAATGGGTTTTCAGTGATACTACTCTTTCTTATGCTCTTTCTTCTTCCTCTCTCTCTCTTTCTCTCTTTTCTCTTTCTCTCTCTCTCTCCCTTTCTCTCTTTTCTCTTTCTCTCTTTTCTCTCTCTCTCTCCCTTTCTCTCTTTTCTCTCTCTCTCTCTCCCTTTCTCTCTCTCTCTCCTTTCTCTCTCTCTCTCTCCCTTTCTCTCTCTTCTCTCTCTCCCTTTCTCTCTCTTCTCTCTCTCCCTCTTTTCTCTCTCTCTCCCTCTTTTCTCTCTCTCTCCCTCTTTTCTCTCTCTCTCCCTCTTTTCTCTCTCTCTCCCTCTTTTCTCTCTCTCCCTCTTTTCTCTCTCTCTCCCTCTCTCTCTGTCTCCCTCTCTCTCTCTTTCTCACTCCAAAATGTGTAGCTTTATTTTTCCGTTTCTGATGAGCATTTTGATCACTGTTGATAGCTGTTATTATCATAGTGCTGCATCAAGAGATTTAGAAATGCATCTTCAGTGTACAGAATTGATTTTGTGCCCCCCCCCCCTCCCATTCCCTCATCACATAGCGTGATGATGTCTCTTCATTTATGAAAACACTGTAAATAACAAAGCTAAGGTTAATAGTCTGCAAAGAAAATCATAAGGATTAATTTCTTTCCCTTTTTTTTTTTTTTTAAATATAAAATTGATTTTTCTAAAAACTTTGAATAAAAAAAATTGTTTATTAAATGACTACTTTTATTGCACTTGTTTCTCTTTGATGTTCCCATCCCACATGTGTGCCTAGCAAAGTGAACTTGTTTATTATACACCCCACACATTTTACAGCTATTCTTTCTCTCCCTCTCAAATATATACATACACACATTTACTCTCTCTCTCTCTCTCTTTCATTCTCACTTGAATGTAATCAGAACATTATGCAGGAAAAATAACTCTGCACACAAGAAAAATGGCAGACATTGAGAATTTCTCAATAAAATTAAATGTGATTTTGTAATAGAATTTGCTTTTATTGAAATGTTTATTTTAATTTTTCCTTCCAAGGTATGGTCTCATTAATCTAATTCTTGACAATTTTTTGCTGTATTTATTATTCATTTATTTATTTTTCCATTTTAAAATTTTAAATTATGTTCAGGTAAAGAGTATCAAGATTTTTAAATTGTATTCTGTTAATAACATTTATGGAACAAATAGACTGATTAATGAATTATGGCTTAAATCTTAGGTAAAACACTTTTACATTTATTAATTTGATTTATTTTCATTGTTATTCCCTAGAACAAATATTGGGTGGGCCAAAAAGATTGTTCATTTATTAAGTAGAAAATTTACTTAATAAATTGAACAAACGTTTCAACCCAATTACTTGCAAAGGGCCACCTTGCCTAAACAAATATCTGGTGGTATCTTGTTTCTGTTGTTATACTGAAAGGAATCTCCAAAACCAGTCATTATTTTTCAGCTGTTATAAGATACTCAACACTGATTAAAAAAAGATGTTTTCTGTAATTTTGACTTGTTTGGACTGTTGAACTCATTCTTTTTGTTGTTAACACATTTGAGGCCATGCATTTATTTCTTCTGTTTTACATTTTTAGTGGATAATACCTCCAAAAAACTAACCCATTTTTTCCCATACAGTTTATGCATCTGAGGTAGTCTGCAAATAGTTTGAAAGAAATATTGTGATAACAACAAAAATAATGAAAGCAATACTTCAAACAATTTTTGGAATAGAATTTTAGCTTGATTAGTATATTTTATGGTTGTGTGTGCGAGTGCACATGCATATCAATAAATTTATGATCATTACAAAGCAGGTAACTTGAGCATGTCATCAATCTTTATTATATAAGAATCTCAAAATTATTAATAGAAATTCTTTCATTCAAGTATAGTCCTAGATGACCATTTCATGACTCTTCTGCTTATAAATTCTTGCTAAATATGAAATCAAAACTGACATTTTAAATGATATGTTTACCCCTACCATTTAGTTTTTGTTTAAACAATTACCACTGAGAATTAGTGGTATGGTTTTAGAACCACTTTTCTAACAAAAGTATTTTTTTAGAGAGAGGAAAAAAGTTTAATTTAGTTCATGCATTATCTGCTATATTTACTCTTAGTTTCCTCAATTGTTTTTTTCATGGTAAATTTTTGTTAAAAAATTAATTTTATCTTAGAGGAAATACATTGTTGTTTTACAAATAACGCTTGTTGATACATAAAGCTTTAATAATTTTTTTTTTTTGATAAGGGAATAATTTAATTTTTTTCTTCTCAATCACTATAACTTGAGTACTTTTTTTCTTAATACTAGTGCATAAAAATGTTATTTTTCAAGTTTAAATGAACACTTCATTTGAATGATTTACTTTTTCTCTACTCCAAAGACAGCCAATGTGGTAATTGTCCATTTCAATTTGAGAATATATTATTTTCATACGCTTCTAAAATTAGGTTGTGATTTCTTTAATCTATTGACTGATATATAAAACCCTATTTTTCCAGTCAATAAGCTGTTTCACACAGTAACATTCTGTTGAAACATATACAGAATATTGAATTGCGGTGATATCAATTTTGAGTTCAACTAAATAACATGACTTGTACCCCCCCCCCCAGACTTTTTTTTTCTTTCTGTGTCAGTAATTTGTCCTGCCAATAAGAATTTTAGAAACATGATTTTTTTTTTTAATATATATATATATATATATATATATATATATATATATATATATATAAGTCTTAATATTTTTGTATTTGAAAATATAAAAATGACTTGTCTAAAATTTTGAAATGAGTTATTGTTAATATTTAATCAATTTTTACAATTAACCACATCTTTTGGGTGGGGGTGAAGATAACACCAAAATCATTGAATAATAAAAAAAAAAAAAAAAAAAAACATAATTAATCCAGTTTACTCAATTACTTCTGGTAATGTGCAGATACATTTTATGTGTTTCTTTAATGCTCCAAACTGAAGTTTGTTTTTTTTTTTTCCTGAAAGTTTTTATAATTTAAAAAAAAAAGTTTTTCTCAAAAATTGTAAAAAAGAAAAAAATTTACAAAATTCTCAAAATGCACATTCCAAAAATAATTAAAGCAATATTCCCCGAATTAATCAGTTTAAGAGTTTCACTGCCATTCATTAATTTAATAATAAAAATAAGCCAATAATTGAAAAGTAAGAACCCAATTATACAGACAATTTTTGAAACTTTTAAGTTCTCAGATTTAAAATGATTCTAATTAAAATAGACTTAAGATTGGCTATTGTCAACTGTTATTTTTTACAAGTTCAATAACATTTTAAAAATCCCTCTCTACCTTCTGTACTTTTTCTGTTAAGGAAAAAACTTTGAATAATTTCTTTGCAGGTTTTTTGTTTTTTTTTTAATTTTATCTCAGCCTTCACTACATATCATTCTTGTTCATTTTTATTGTTAAAAAAAATATAATTAAACTCTATTTTTTTTTTCTCATTAAAAAATCTCAAGCAAACTTTTTATAAAGTTAGCTCGAGATTTTTTTTTTTTAATAATCAAATTCAAATCATTTGATTTGTGGAAATTCCATCAAATTTGTATTGTAATTGCCTTGAATTCTGACATGTTCTAAAAATATCAAACCCTTTGCATGATAGCAGAGGTGGAGAAGCTATATAAAAATGATTAGGACTTACAAGTAATCACAAAGCTTATATTAGCTTCTCTGTCTGAAATAAATTTAGACTTGATTTGATTGGCTGGC